GCAGTGTTCTAGGCCCCAGGAAAAAAGCACTGAACAAAATTGCCTTTAAAACGAATCTCTCCTCCCTCAGAGCTTACATTTTAGCTGGGAGAGATCAGAGTAACCAATCAATAAATACAAATAGTCTTCAAATGCCATGGAGGAAAAGAAAAGAAAGGAGAGGGATGAATAAGGTGGGGAAATAGGTATTTTTGTTCGGATGGTTCCAGAAGGCTGCTGTGATAAGGTGACACTTGAGCAAAGACCTCAGTGGGGTGACAGGTGAGCACTGCCCACTGTACTAACAGCATTGTTGAGACAGTTCCGTATTGTTATATTGTTGTGATCATAAGAAACACGTGCACACTTTCATGAGCTCACTTTTTCCGCCACATTTGATATGAAAATGTTCGAATACCTGTCACAGTGGAAACCTGCCCACACACTGCCGTGATGCTACCTGACTATTTTACCATCCTTGCTTGTTCTATATCTACCCATCTGCCCATCTTGCTCCCCATCATAGTTTTAATTTTAATCTCGATGTTAGTACTCTTTAGTTCATACATTTGTTTTTTTTAATTTGAGAGAGAGAGAGAGAGAGAGAGAGAGAGTGTGTGTGTGTGTGTGTGTGTGTGTATGAGGTGTGGAGAGGGGTAGAGAAGAGAGAGAGAGAGAGAGAGAGGGAGGATCTTAAGCAGGCTTCACACTCAGCATGGAGCCCAATGTGGGGCTTGATCCCATGACCCTGGGATCAAGACCTTAGCTGAAATCAAGAGTTGGATGCCCAACCTACTGAGCCACCCAGGCCCCCCAATCCATACATTCTTAAGCTAATCAGATGTGAATTTCTTTTACCACAGAGGTTCTCAGAAACTTAACACTCATGAATAGAAAGAAATTTTACATTCATTTTTATATTACTGGTTTTAATTTTATTTGATTTTCTTTTTTCATGTAATTCCTAATCCATTTGGAATTCATTTCAGGTTGTGGTACGGGGCAAGGTCTTGCTTCGTTTATTTCCCAAATAGCTGGTTTCCCCAGCACATTTGTCAAACAATGTGGCATTTCCCATGTTGGCTGGTCCCTTTTCAAAAACAATGTAAGTTTGTGTATATGCCTGGATGTTTTTCAAGTTGTCTCTTCTGTTCATGTGATTTGGCTGTTGATTTACTTTGCTAGCACCTCACTTTTACCATCTTGTTTCATAATACATTTTAACATGTGGCTAGGCAGATCTTTTCCAATTATTTTATTTTTCAAAATTTCTTAGCTCTGTTATTTGCTTCTTCTTGCAAAAAAATATTAGGAGCATCTATGTTCTGGAATATCAAGTTAAAATTTTGTGTGTATGTCTTGATTTGAAAGGAATCTTTCCTTACCTTTAGAACAGGGATAATAGTGGCTGCCTATTGATAGGATTATTGTATGGATTAAATGATAACAAACACAAGAAGTGTTTAATGTGATATGTCAACTCAGAGCCTGTTCTGATTTTCCAGAGAGCTCTAAGATTTATTTGGGCTCAGTGCTCCTGGGCGGCTCAGTTGGTTAAGCATCTGACTCTTGGTTTTAGTTCAGGTCATGATCTCACAGTTCATGAGTTCAAGCCCTGCATAGGGCTCTGCACTGGCAGTGCACCCTAGTTGGGATTCTCTCTTTACCCCTCCCCTGCTCTCTCTCTCTCTGTGTCTCTCTCAAAATAAATAAATAAAAACTTTTTTTAATGTATAAAAAATAGATTAATTAATTAAAGGGGGCGCCTGGGTGGCGCAGTCGGTTAAGCGTCCGACTTCAGCCAGGTCACGATCTCGCGGTCCGTGAGTTCGAGCCCCGCGTCGGGCTCTGGGCTGACGGCTCAGAGCCTGGAGCCTGTTTCCGATTCTGTGTCTCCCTCTCTCTCTGCCCCTCCCCCGTTCATGCTCTATCTCTCTCTGTCGCAAAAATAAATAAACGTTGAAAAAAAAAAAAAAAAAAGATTTGTTTGGGCCCCACCCCATTACAGTTCATTTCTCAAGTTTCCCAGATTCCCTTTGGAGCTAAAAAAGAGTTCTGGGTCATTACCAACTCAGAAATCTAGAACATTCGAAGAGGTCAAGTGGCAACAACACCTGAGAAATGTCTCCCTGCCCTTGTTGCAGGATGTTCTAGTATTGTCACGGCTAAAGGTTCATGAGCATCCTCCACCTACGTCCCCCTTTCTGCAGTGCGCATTCTGCGTAACTGCGCTGGTCTGAGCTTCAGACTGACATTCATACTCACAGGTCACAATAGGCTGTAATCTGGCACCAGTTTTACTTAGCTTCCTGAGATACAGATCAGGAAACATGGGTATCAGCATGACAGCATCAAGCACCTCTTCATCAGGGGTCCTTGCAGTCACCAGGCCTGGCTGGCCAGCCCACAGAGGGCACACTCAGCCATTAGTGATGAGAACAGGTGGATGGGTGACCCCCACATGGGAAGGCCACTACGGGACTGCATTGTTCTACTCCTCTGTGCACAGCTTCCACCGCTCACCCCCCTTCCAAGGACACCCTTGGGGTAAGAGACAACACCCAGAAACTTGTGTTCTCTGAGTTTTAAATAGTCCTGTCTGCTCACACATCTCAGGGGTGACTTCGCGATAACCAGGCACAGCTGTCATTTCACATGCATCTCGGCCCCGTACGTTTCAAGGAAGTAGAAGAGGAAGAGATATCTTCCCCTGGAGAAGAGATTTAAGCCTGCTGGGGGCTCTTTCTCCTGACCAGCGCACTTCCATTTCTGGTCCTCTTCCTGGCCCTACGGTTCTCCGCGGGATTAGGCTTCAGAACCTCTCCACACACTGAGGAAGCCCCGTGCCACTCCGCTTACCGAGACGACAAGGAGCCTAAGAAGCGGTCCTGCTGTGCTACCTCCTGCGTGGCCCCTGCTTTCACTCCTGCCAGCCGGGGTGCGTGCTCACCATCGCCTGCCCAACCTCCTCCGGCTGCTTCTGGCCGTGTTCGCTGCGGCCAGGAAAAAGGGAAGCTTTGGGGCCACCACTGGTGGTCCCTCTCGTCCCCTCGTCAGTACTGCTCCGAGAAACCCCTTCAGATTTCCACTCCATCTCTTCCTGATGTGCTCCCTGCCTCACTCCAATGTCACGCTCCAGTTCCTTGCGTGTGGCACCTGCTGCAGCCGTCGGTCGCCCACCAATGCTGCCTGCGTGCCCAGACCTCCGCCCCAAGTTGTACGTGGAGTCTCCCGCCCCTCTTCGCAGCTTGGCATCTCAGTGGGTCCATCCCTGTTTCCGGGTGCTCCCTGTTCTCTCGATGCCCCTCCTTTTGTGGATGAACCGCCAGGGTTGGCATGACCGTTGCTTTCCCTAAGTGCCTGTACGGAGTAGACTTCCAGCAAATGCCGATGACTCAGGTGTATGGACCTACAGAATCAGTACCTTTCGACAACGTCAGCCAAAGTGCTTATTTCTCAGCCAAAGTGAATGTCAGCAACAGGGTATCTATTGCCTGATCCTTTCACACAAAAAGTCCCTGCCTGCTAAAAGCACATGAAAGGTGGGGAAAATGGAAAAGTCTCTGCTTAGCTTTCCCTCAGAAACCGGGCTGCCAGTGTCTCTCAGAGACGCCTGTGCCTGGTCCCAGGAGAGGATTCTCTCCAATGCAGAAAACCCTGACGAGCAGCGAGCCCTGGGGGAACACTAAAGAACCCTAAAGAGAAAAAGTGTACTTCTTTTTTTCCCCTTGTTCTGTCCGGGTTTTCTTGCATCCCCAGGATGGAGTGCCAGAAGCGGGATTAGCTTTGAAATGAACAAGACGGCTAGAATTTCCAGTGAAAACTTACAGTTCCACTGTCATTTCACTGATTCTCAGTGGCTACTGGCTGTGGTTTTCTCTGTGGTTGGTGTAGCCGAAGGGAGCCAGGGGCACACAGGTCAAGCGCTTGCAATGTTCCCGGTGCAGCGCTAAGCACTGTCTTCGCTCACTTAAGCATCATAATACCCATTTTAGGTTAAGGAGACCGTGGTGTGAAGACGTTCATTAACTCTCAGAGTCGCACAGCCAGTTAGCAGCAAGCCAGGGTTTGAATTCGGTCCGGCTCCGGAGTCCATGTGCTTAACCACACTGTGCTGTCTGTTACAAATGTGTTACCTGGTTTTGTTCCATAACGGCTATTAATATTTTAATGCCCAACAGGGAATCTTTTTACAAACCCGAATAAAGGAATAACTATCTCCGTGTATACCGTGTTAAGCTTCTTAATTTCAATCCGTCCCTTTCATTATTCTTTCTCATTATTCATCTGCCCTTTCACAGAGGCAGAGGTACATTTGGATTGGATTGATTTCTTCCATGATCTTAGCATAAATTCAAATATTTCATCAAGAAACTTGATTATCTTAATGTTTCACTTTCCATAGTAAACAGTAGACTTTACCTTTGAGTTCCTTATAGGGCTTACCTGACTGTTTAATAGTGGGAGGTAATGAAGCAGGTGATCTCATCCCATGAAAAGCCCCAGGTCCGGTGCTCATTTTCAGATGTTAGGAGTGGAGCCATGTCCCAGTGGCTGTGACCCTACCTGCGTTGGCCTGCCTTCCCTCCCCATTCCCGCCGGGCCCAGCTGTTCCCTGGCACACAGGGAAGGGGAAGAGAGAAGGGTATGATGGTTGGAGCTGAGTGCTGGATTGACTTCTCTGAGTTTATTAGGAGTTGTTTCCATTGGGAAATCTTTCATCAGAGAGTCGAGTCAAGGTCTAACCTGTCCCAAGCCTTCATTTTTTTCCCCAATTAAATATTTGGGGTGGTGGTTCCCCATTAAGAGCAACTTACACTGAAAAAAATGATCCAACGCTTTTTGTCTCTGCTTAGTTTCGGAAATTCGATTTCATGGCATCTCATTTTAAATTCTCTTGCTCTGCTTTTCACATACAGTTTAGTTTCAAAGTGTGTGACACAGTACTTGTCTTGCTAAGAATATCGTCACTGTAACTTCATCCTCTGGTTGTTTTAATAGCAAGTTTTATCTGTCAACAGGAGAATATTAAAAAGCGAGCCTCCATATCCTCAAGAAATGAGTGCTTTAGCTAAAGACCTGATTCAGCGTCTTTTGATGAAAGATCCCAAGAAAAGATTGGGATGTGGTCCACGTGATGCGGATGAAATCAAAGAACATCTCTTTTTTCAGGTGAAATTTATTGAACAGATGGTTTTATATGGCCTGCTATTTGCAGGGTGTTTGGCATTCTTCATGAAATGAGTGAACATGGCCCCTTTTGGAGACATTTGCTCCCTATCTTCACATACACTGTACCTTTTTTTTTTTTAGATAGCAGGGACCCTGTAGGAATCCTAGGATCAGAATTCTCCTTGGAGGGGCATCTAGGTGGCTCAGTCAGTTAAGCGTCTGACTTTGACTCAGGACGTGATCTCACAATTTGTGAATTCGAGACCCACATCAGGCTCTCTGCTGTCAGCACAGAGCCTGCTTGGGAGCTTCTGTCTCCCTCTCTCTCTGCCCCTCCCCCGCTTTCTCTCTCACTCTCTCAAAATAAGTTAACATTTAAAAAAAAAAAAAAGAATTCTACTTAGAGACACCTAAATGGTCTTTTTCTGCCTAAATGAAGTGAGAGTGGGGAGGACCATAATGGCGTTCAGTCTTCCATATGCTTATTGGTTCGAGTTTTGAGTATTGGTTTCTATTTATGATCTTGAAATTTAGGCATATGGACTGAAGAAGCTTTTATTTTTTACTTTTCTCTCAGTTCACGAGCCATTCCCACCAGTGTGTTTTGCCCTTTAGACAGTGATTTCATCCTTTCTCCTTTTCTCAGGAGCAATCACAGAAAATTTAAAATGTGCCTATTTCTCAGTTACTTATCTGTAACATAGATTTATTTATTTATTTATTTATTTACTTACTTATTGCTTATTCTGAAGAAACCTAATGAGACCATTCTACAGAGCACCAATACATCTGCTTAACTTAGTTTGCTCACTTTAGTAAAACGAACAAAAGAACTCCAAAATTTTAGATAACTGGGGAAAAGAATTGAATTGGCTGAGTTGGCTAGCTATTTAAGTCTGAGTAGTCAACCCAGGATACCATGACCTCAGTTTTTAAAACCCTGAACTTAGGACTCTTAAAAAATTTCATCACCTCAGTAAGCATGACTTAAATATTTATGGTCTAAAGGGACCATCCGGGTTTTATTTTTATTCTGCAAACTGAGCTTTTACAGTATTATCACCAGAGTATATGAAAACGCCTAACATAACACAGGAAAACTGCCCTAGAGTAACCTCTGTGTTGTCTATTGTTTTTTAAATCTAGAAAAACAAGTAATGGTTGAGAATAAGAATTACCTCTCTGTATTTCTTATCTTTTTTGTGTGTGACGTATTTTTAAATTTTGTTTTAGAGAGAGAGAGAGACAGAGCACGAGTGGCGGGGAGGGGCAGAGAGAGAGAGAGAGAGAGAGAGAAAATTCCAGAGGTTCCATGCTAAGCATAGGGTGTGACAGGGGGTTTGATTCCACAACCCTGGGATCATGACCTGAGTCAAAATCTAGAGTTGGACGCTTAACACCAACTGAGCCCCCCTCTCTGTATTTCTATACTCAAAAAAAGAGCACCAGTCTCTCAGCTGTAACCCGTTTAAAAATATGTTACCACACATCTTACAGAAGTTCAGTAACAAATACATTTAGAATAAAATTAACTTCTCAATGTGTACATTTCATAAATTAGCATGGCTTACAAAGATTAGTAGTTGAACAAACTATTTCAAATACCTTGTTGAGAAATGTGGCTGAAAATTTAACAATGTAAAATTCAAGGAAGTGCTCAAGCAAAATACCCCCATCATATTTTCCTAGGATCTTTTTCACTACAGTTCACTATATTTGTGAATATTACAGTATGTCTTTCATATTACAGAAATTTTTCTGTAGCTTGAAATAGTAATTTTAGGTTCCTTAATGGCTTTGCTTTTTAAATGACAAGGACTCTTTAGGAAAGACCAGAATCCAACTTGTAAAGACCTAAATGGAGAGGACGTGGAGAGGAACGTAACAGCGATCAATTTTCTACATACTAAACATTCTCCTGCTAACAATATATCTCTTTAAATTACCCCTTTCCTCTAGAAGTTTCTCTTAATGTATGTATAAATAGCCAAGCACATATCATATGCTTGTAATGGAAAACATTACAGCCACACGGAGGACAGAGCGCTAACGAGAAAATCAAGAGACTGACCCTTCCATGAGCTAATGTTTAAGTGAGAAGTTTAGTTCTTACTTTCAGGCTTCAGTTTCCATCTGGGTCTAAAGGAGATGAGCTAATTGGTCTCTAAAGCCCACGCTGGCTGAAAAACTTGAAGATCTGTAATCTAATGATTTTTTTTCTCCATTGCCTCCACAAGAGGGCATAATAAAAACATTTTTTCGTTAGTTGATTAAACTTCCTGAACGTCATCCACTGTCTCTGAAATCAGAATGCGTCTTACAATGGACAGCTTAACCATTCTACTTCATAATGCCTTTTCTTTCTTCATGGTACATGAAATCATGGCACATCTCACTATGAATGAGGACATCTTAGATTTGAAGAAATATGTTAATAGAATAGCTGTGGGATTTGATTCAATAAGTATTATCTGAGGTTGTTTTAAGTGACAGAAGGAGCACAAAGAAAATAGAGCACAGAGTTGGCTCTATTTATCAGACAACAATTGTCTGGCATGGGGGGAGAGGGGGTTTGGATTATCCCATGGGGGAGACAAGAAGCAGTATTTAAAAAGCTAGGATACAGACTTAAATGAGAAAAGGGTGATTATATCAGTATGATAGGATCATTTAAACTTACAGACGTAAACAAGTGCATGATTTATAGTGAGTTTATTTTCTAGTCTGTCCAGATGGCCAGGAGGAAGAGCAGGTCTAGGAAGAAAGCTACCTAACTTTGTCTCTAGAAAATAGGAATATTAGAGTCAGCATTCATATTCATAGAGCATTGAAAAGCCCTTTGTCATCATTCAGTTTTATTTTGTTCTAGCCTCACACCTTCAGGACAAAAGTAATTTTTCTGTTTTCCCTATGGGTGAATTAGGATATCCTGGTGCCCCCCGGAGGATACGGCCAGACCCCACAGTGACGGAAGGCAGTCTCCTCATTCAGGCATAGCATTGAATGCAGCAATAAACTGCAGTCAGAAAATGTGCTCCTGCTTGGGAAAAAAACGTATTTATAATCATTGGTTTGAAAGATGTGCCCTTTCCTTGTTGACTAATTAAAACCCTAATCCATCTGTGTTAGTCTCAGAAAATATTTCCACTCTGCTGGTCTCTACTTTGTACCCATTTTCTTTTTCTGTTTCAGAAAATAAATTGGGACGATCTAGCTGCCAAAAAAGTGCCCGCCCCATTTAAGCCGGTCATCCGAGATGAGTTAGATGTGAGTAACTTTGCAGAAGAGTTCACAGAGATGGATCCCACGTACTCCCCGGCTGCGCTGCCCCAGAGCTCCGAGAGGCTGTTTCAGGTAATCTCCAAGAGAGGGCGCTCCTGTGTGGCGGCCGGCTGTGCTGTGAAAGAAAAGATTAATTTTCCCATATAAGTGTTCTTGGCGTCTTTAAAAGCAAGATTCTCTAATCTCTTCAAAATGATTAAATATGGAGATGTTGCAAATTATTAACTGAGGCTTATGGTCTGTGACATAGTAGATATTACTTACGTGTTGTTCTTTTTTTTTTTTCATTTTATTTTTTATTTTTTTAAATTTACATCCAAATTAGTTAGCATCTAGTGCAACACTGATTTCAGGAGTAGATTCCTTAGTGCCCCTTACCCATTTAGCCCATCCCCCTCCCACAACCCCTCCCGTAACCCTCAGTTTGTTGTCCATATTTATGAGTTGCTTCTGTTTTGTCACCCTCCCTGTTTTGATATTATTTTTGTTTCCCTTCCCTTATGTTCATCTGTTTTGTCTCTTAAAGTCCTCATATGAGTGAAGTCATATGATTTTTGTCTTTCTCTGACTAATTTCACTTAGCATAATACCCTCCAGTTCCATCCACGTAGTTGCAAATGGCAAGATTTCATTCTTTTTGATTGCCGAGTGATACTCCATTGTATCTATATCTATATATCTATATCTATATCTATATCCACCACATCTTCTTTATCCATTCATCCATCAATGGACATTTGGGCTCTTGCCATACTTCGGTTATTGTCGATAGTGCTGCTATAGATATTGGGGTGCATGTGCCCCTTTGAAATAGCACAGCTGTATCCTTTGGATAAATACCTAGTGGTGCAATTGCTGGGTCGTAGGGTAGTTCTATTTTAGTTTTTTGAGGAACCTCCATCCTGTTTTTCAGAGTGGCTGCACCAGCTTGCATTTCCAAGTTCTTTATGTAAAGAAGTGTTGATTTTTTTACTTGAAATTTTATTTCTCTTCAGTTTCTTTTATAGAAAAATACAAGACTACTTCATTTTACCTCTAGCATATAAAATTGTCTTCAGTTCATAAAAAGTGTTATCTGATTCTTTATCTTCAGTGAGAAATCTTAACTGTTTTCCAACTCCTAAAAAAGAATTAGGGAAGATTTTATACTGAGAAAAAGGTCTTTCTCAGACTTATACTATTAAATGGTATCAGAAAGCTATTAAAACCATTAAAGACTATTAAATGCTATCAGAGATTCACTTCTGGACCCCCATAAGTATGCCATAAGTATGGCTTCATCTGGTCACCTGGGCTGTGTCTTCGGACCTTAATAACACTAATGTCTAGCACGTGGCTGAGCACATAGTAGATGTTTCAAAAATGTTCTTTGAACTAGTGAGTGTTCTAGCTTGAGCAGATTTATCATCTGTCATTATACCCCTTTTGGTTCATTCTGGCACGTCGTTCTGCCATTTGATTTTTATTTCTTTTCCAAAACTCCATTTGAAATTTTTAGTCTAAGGAAATCTAATCAGAGTCAAATAATTGCTAAATTAGAAACTCGCTGTAGTGAAACTTGCTATTTTTTGAGCTTGAAAAATGATCTCTTGGGCCACTTTGTTTAATAGCTTAACTGTACCTTTTTTGAGAAGCTAGTTGCGTTCCTAAGTGAACTTTCATCAGCAATGCGAAAGAACTCCATCTCTGAGTCAGATATTGGGGGTGGAATTGGACAGAAGGTTTTTCTGCCTTTAATTCTGAATTGGTTTAATTCTACCAGAAGATGGCATTATCTCCTTCGGAAAAGTTTGTCTCCATTGATTTGAAATCTCCATTGATTTGCATTTTAGATTGAAAATAAAATAAAATTAGATTCATCTCCACACATATTTGAATGTTTTTCACAGAGAGTGAAAAACATTATTACAATCTGGACTGTGCTAAACTGGAAAATTGCAAACCCTCGTTCCTTACTCTTCCTTTTCTTTCTTAGGGCTATTCCTTTGTCGCTCCTTCCATTCTGTTCAAGCGGAACGCGGCCGTCATAGATCCTCTTCAGTTCCACACAGGAGTTGATCGCCCTGGAGTGACAAGTGTCGCCAGGAGCGCAATGATGAAGGTATACATGTGCTTAATTAAATGATACAGTTATGATTTAAATACCAATGCTAATTAACATTGTCAAGGCCAATGAATTTAATAGGCTTACCATTTGAGTAAGGTGCAATTTTAAGAAATGAATAAATGGAAATAGCAATGTTTGCCCTAGAGAATTAATCACATCCATTTCAATGAACTCCTTTTTGCAGTGATAGCAAATTATATATCTTAAAAAATTATACAGATGAAAGTAGAAATAATCTAAAGCAAGCTGAATCTTGGAAGCATATAAATATATTCCATGCATATCTATTAACATTAATAATGTTCTTTAGGGGTGCCTGGGTGGCTCAGTCGCTGGAACATCCGACTCCACTCAGGTCATGATCTCGTGGTTCTTGCGCTCGAGCCCTGTGTTGGGCTCGCTTCTGTCAGCACAGAGCCCACTTCAGATCCTCTGTCCCCCTCCCTGTCTGCACCTCCCCTGCTCATGCCCTCTCTCTCTGTCTCTTACACACAAAAATAAATATTAAAAGAAATAATAATGTTCTTTTACTCCGTTACTTATCCCTCTGTGTTCCTAGTATTTTCTTTTTTTTTTTTTTAAGTTTCTTTTTATTTTGAGAGAGAGAGCACACAGTCGGGGAGGGGCAGAGAGAGAGGGAGGGAGGGAGAGAGAGAGAGAGAGAGAGAGAGAGAGAGAATCCTAAGCAGGCTCCATGCTGTCTGTACAGAGCCCAGTGCAGAGCTCGAACTCCCAGACCGTGAAACCATGATCTGAGCCGATATCTAGAGTCAGATGCCCAACCAACTGAGCCACCCAGGCGCCTCAGTTCCTAGTATTCTCTTAAGGTAAATGATATTGGTTTCTTATCAGGACTCCCCATTCTATCAACACTATGACCTAGACCTGAAGGACAAGCCGCTGGGAGAGGGAAGTTTCTCAATATGTCGAAAGTGCATACACAAAAAAAGTAACCAAGCGTTCGCAGTCAAAATAATCAGCAAAAGGTAGGGACCATTTCTGGCATCCTTTGGCATTCTTTTGTATGGACTCATCCTGGTCAAGGAATTCTGTAAATTAGGATTTTTATTTTGAAATCAGTGGTTTCTTGTAAAGCTTTTTAACCTTGGGTGTAGCCATTCAGCTCATTAGCTGATCCATTATCCTCTGACTCTAATAGATGTTTGCTGGTAAAGTAATCCATTTGGGACGTAAATCATGGCGTGACAGGCTTTCGAGTCTACCGTGAGAACATTTTCCGTGGCAGTGATAATCAGACTTGCCCCATTCATTTCGACAGCTGTTGCCACTCCTAATAGTTGTGTATCTGAATTTTTTTTTTCTGAAATTACTTAGCAATTTGCTGGCAGCTTTTGGGAGCCAGCTAGTTGTTTTGGGAACTCATTATTACTTCCATGATTGTGTATTCTTACTACCAAAATGTCAGGCAAGTGAGGCACCCATTTCTTCATGATGGGCTCTTTTCTGACTCAGAAGTAATCATTTCCTCAGGAATAATGCATTACTTGTTCTGGTGGGTGGTATGATTCATTACTGTCATGGAAACCTCATTGTGATACTTGAACACTTACATTCTGAACACGCTGTAAATAAACACAAAAGTAGGGCTGGGATAATACGGACATGAAAACTTGGTGAAGAAGGTACGTACGTGGAGGCTAATCACTTTCATCCCTGCAGGATGGAGGCCAATACTCAGAAAGAAATAACAGCCCTGAAACTCTGTGAAGGACACCCCAATATCGTGAAGCTGCATGAAGTTTTCCACGACCAGGTATCTCACACTACTTTTGTGTCCCTACTGACTCACACAGAGTTCTTTTTTCCAGTTGAGTTGCAACTGCCGGGGTCAGAGTCAGAGATAATGGGATACGACCCGGCCACCAGAGAGGGCAGAGAAACTTCTTACCCACCCCCAAAACCAGTGCACGCTTTCACTTCTGCTCTTCTCACTCAGTCATGGGCATATGTGACATGGACGAAGGGCAGAGGGCAGGGTGGGTCACAGCTGCTGGGCCTCCCACCGGCTCAGCTGCAGCCCTCCGCAGCTTAATCCCTGGACTTCTCAGTAGTCAGTTAACGATCAGCCTTCGACTTTCTTTTCACTTCTAGAATAGGATTTAGAGTTTAAGCCTAGTTAATGCAAGCTCCAGAACAAAGATGAAGCAGAAGGGCAAGGGTACCCCCTTTCCCCTCCAGATGGCACGTGCACTCAGACCACAGGCCAGGTCCTGCTTTGCAACAGGACCCCGTGCAGAAGCATGTACCTCTGGATGTGGGAGGAATGTGTCAAGTCCGTGTCTCCTCAGCCCCTCCACCGCCAACCTCCATGACAATAGTTGCTCCATTGTTGACACATTTCCCCCTGAGACTGGGGGGGAAGACACAGTCCTACTTGAGACAGCATGCTAAGCACAAAAGCCGATACCAGTCCTGGATGCAGCTGACCCTAGCTTTACCAAAGAAAAAGCAGACTCAGAAGGGTCGTGAGCCCTGTCCATGGTCACACAGCAGGGCCATAAGCATCTAGTCGGGAAAATCTGGGCCATCTCCACTGTGCTACTGTAACAGCATGTCCTGGGTAGGCCGAGGCCCAGTTCTCCACCACACTGAAAGTTCCCAGAGCACTGGAATGATACAGCTTAGCCACAGTGACTGCTGCCCTTTAGTATTGCATACCTTACATGGTCCAGGTACCGTCCCAGACTCCACATGCGCGATTCAGTCCTTATATAAGGTAACTCCACCAGGTGGGAAAACTGAAACTCTGAGAAGTTAAGTAACAGGATCTCACAGCTTGTAAGTGGTAACGCCGGGCCCTGAACCCAAGCAGTCCGACTGCAGAACAAGCTTTTAATTACTCTGCTCTGCTGCCTTAGGGGAGGCAGCAACATGGCCCGGTTCTCCCAGCAGGTGAGCGAGCACCCAAAAATAACATCGTCATCTCCTTTCTCTTTGGCTCTCGTAGTCAGAAAAGGCAGGTCTTTGAGAGGAGGACTTGGAGGAGCTGCTCTCCGTGCTCCTACTGCGGCCACCTCATGGGGCCACCTGACTGCAGTGGAGGTAGTGAGTCCCCCATCCACTGGAGGTGCCTAAAAGGAGCCCGGACAGTCTCCTCTGAAGATGATTCACATAACAAGTCAAGGGACTGGTGGATGACCTTCGACACCCCCCTCTGGTGTTTGCACTTGGGCCCAGCTCCATCCCAGCTCTTATGTTCTGGCGGATGTCAGATCTCAGGAACTGCATCCCTCCCTTGTTACTTATGCCACAGGTTAAATTTATTGTTTGCTATTTTTATATTAAAGAGTTACTGAATGTGAGTTGTCTCACGATGTGACCTTGTATCTACTAGTACAAATATATAATCATTCTGCTGCCCAGCTGTTGATACCTGGGGTGATTTCTTTCCATGTTGGTGACACAGTGGCCTAGATCATCCCCAAGTACACACAGTCTTCTCTTCCACGGAGGGGTGAAATTGATTAGGGTGGGTCTTCAGCCTCTGGGTGTGCAGCATATAGTTCACTTCGTGTGCGATGATTTGTATTCGTTTCCTATAGCTGCTGTAACAAATTACCACATACCTTCACACTGCCAATTTATAATCTCGCAGTCTGGAGATCAGAAGGTCAAAATCAGTCTCACTGGTATAACGTCTGGGTGTTGGCAGGGCTGGTGCCTTCTGGAGGCTCCAAGGGACAATCCATTTGCTGGCCTTTTTTAGCTTCTGGACACTGTCCACCTTCCTTGGCTCGTGACCCTTCTGTATATCTCTCCAATCTCTTGTTTCCATAGTCCCATCCCATACTGTTGGCTCTGATGGATAATTTAGACAGTCCTCCCAGCTCAAGATCCTTAATCACGTCCACAAAATCCCTTTGCCATATCAGGTAACATCCACAGGTTCTGGGGATTAGGACACGGACATCTCTGGAAGGCCGTTAGTCAACTGTCTCATAAACATTTTCTCACTGTTATCTACATTTTATTGGCAAGGGTCCTAAAGTTATAGAGGTTAAGTAGCATCCCCAAGGTCATAAGTAAGTAGCAGAAGCAGCATTCAGATCCAGGGTTGGTTCTAAAACCTATCTTTAAAAAAATGTTTTAATGTTTATTCATTTATTTTGAGAGAGAGAGATAGAGAGCAGGGGAGGGGCAGAGAAAGAGGGAGACAGAATCCCAAGCAGGCTCCACACCATCAGTGCGGAGCCAAATGCGGGGCTGAAACCCACGAACCATGAGCTCATGACCTAAGCCCAAATCGAGAGTTGGACACTTAACCGACTGAGCCACCCGGGCAGCCCTAAAGTCCATCTTTTAAACCATTCCATTGTTTGTTAGTCACTGGCAGATGTTTGTAACAGACCTTCAGTGTTGACCTGGTTTGTCATATGTAGAAACTCAAATTAGCTTGATCTCTGGTAGGCTGGAAGCAATTCTCTTATTAAAAATGTTCTCCTTTTAAAATTCGCCCAGTTTGTACAGGATAATTATGAAGCTTTTTCTTTCGGGGAGGATTTTGCTAATTTGAAAAGAAACATATTTGTCAAGTGATGTTGGTTCTGTAATGCATAGCACCTGAATCTGGTGATTGGCTATCTTTCTTTAAACAACATGCTTGTGTTCATTTGAGAGCTGATACAGTTCCTTTGCTTTTCAGTTGCTCCTGAGTTATTTTCTTTATGGACATCTGTGCAAAGCATAGTAAATAAATAACTTTTTAAACTCTTTAAGATAATGCCATTGGTATCCAAAGCAATTATTTAAAAAAAAAAAAAAGGCAGTGAGTTATGGGTATTTGCCGTGGGTATTAACAAGGAACCCTGAAACTAATCTGTTGAGGTCTGACAGGAGGTTCAAAGTGGCATCATGAAACACCTTTTTGAAAAGATAAATTTGCTATTCATTGGGTGTGTCAGTCCTCCCGTGGGCAGTTGCCCATTCTCTGTCATTAATCTTCTATATTATTTAAAGCAGACGATTTCACATTATTGTCAGCACCAGGTCACACTTTGAAAAGAAAGCTATGTAAACTTGATCAAGAGGGTTGGAATGGCATTCAAATGAAAGAATTAGTCAAGGAAAGGATATATAAAGATTTCACTGCAGTACTTGAAATTTTCCATTACCAAAATAGAATTCTAAAAAAGCCACATTACCCTTCGATTCTTTCCTCTAAAATATTACGGACTGCTGTTGATTATTTTACCAAGGGATTCTCTAAATGCATTGGCGATAGTTAATAGTCAAGGAATGTTTCATACATAAATACACTTCTCTTCATGAAAGCCCTCCACATTAATCTTTTTTCTTCTCTAGCTTCACACATTTCTGGTGATGGAACTTCTGAACGGGGGAGAGCTGTTTGAACGTATTAAGAAAAAGAAGCACTTCAGTGAGACTGAAGCCAGCTACATCATGCGGAAGCTCGTTTCAGCTGTAAGCCACATGCATGATGTCGGCGTGGTGCACAGAGACCTGAAACCCGAGGTATAAAGTGACGTGCTCTCTCGTGTAACTCAGCCTCGCCTCATTACCGAATATCCCCCCGAGTATGTGTGGGCTTTTCTTGTTTTGTTTTTAGGGCTTCCTGCTAAATAGATACTTGCAGATATCCTGTTTCTGGGATTTTTTTTCTCTTTTCTATTTTAGTCTAAAATAAATTTGTCTTTTTTTTTTTTTTTTTTTTTTTTTGCCAGCAGATCATCTTGAGGTTATATTTGTAAGTGTGAGAGCCTTTTATGGAAGAAATACTTTATGCAACAGTTGTGGGCTAAAAATAGCTATGGAAATTTTTGTAGCAGAAAATAATATCCCTCCTATATGTGTACCATTTTAGAGGTTTATTTTTTTAATGATGTATTTTGAAAGCTTGTTTCTCATTTTTGTAATCAAATTGATTAGCTCATGAATAGGAATGTATAGAATTCTGTTCTAAGTACTTAAACATAAAGAATTGTCTTGATTTAATTAGCCATACCATCCTTATATGTCTTTGCTCATGTACTGTCTTTATAGAATTGTGTAGCCATGCAAAAGTAGCAGCTTTTTATATATTTCTTCTGTCAAAAGGTTAGTAAAGAAGGTTCTAACTCTAGAATGTCCCTTTGTAGTATCAAAAATATGAAAATCCCCCCCTTTTAGGAAGTCATCAAAATAATAATGAAAATTGAAAAACAAAACCCAGTGATTTATAAAAGGACAACAGTGACTCATCCTTTACCATATGCAAAATTATACATATTTCCTCTTTAAAATAGATTCATTTGTAATTACCACATGTTGATAAAGCATTTTCAAATATTCTTAAAATAATAATTTATTTGGAGTCTGTTTTTTGTGTTAGACCACAAAAGACTATGTCTCCGAAAGCACCGGTTTTTTTTGTTTTTGTTTTTGTTTTTTGCCTTTTTAAGTATCTTGGATCATTGGTAGGAAGAGGGTGTTTTAAAAATGGAATTCTGTGCATCCAAGTGTAATCAACTGATTCTAAAGCACATAAACTTCTGTCCCTGGACTTCCTATTACTGTTATCCATATTACTAGTAATTAATCAAAAGTGAACTGTGTTTCATGAACTTGCAACTGTGGTAGCTCTCCCTCTGCTTCCTTCCTCCGAGTTCTCACTCTCCTACAGAACGCCCACTGACAGTATGGTGCTCTGTACATTGGAGATTAGCAATCTATTTTTAAATGCAAAAGCACACCACTTAAATGTTTTCTTGATAGACAAGGAACAAGCATGTAATTTTTTTAATTGAAGAGATCTGTTCCATGACTGTATAGAATTCATTTTCACATGTTTTATTCTTTGATAACCGGCCATCTGTCATCCCATGAGTCTCAAATGATGCAACTGTCCTTTCCAACAGAATTTAAATTTGCCTTCCCATCTTACCGATACAAAGATACTTGTAGCTTCGTTCTTCTTGTTACCAACCTTTTCTTTCAAGTAGCCGTTTGAAATGAAGACATGTCAGATGAGTTAGGACATTCTACTACATTTATAGTCCTAAATCAACATAGATTCTGGAGAAATGAAAATGTGCCTTCGTACTAACATCTTCGTAATAAAATGACCTTCACTTTGACTTTTAAATGGCAGAGTATGTTACTCCCAGGCCCAAAGTGTAATCCCTTTCCCACTGATGTCGTATTTTAAGACCTGATGGTGTATCTTTTGGTCAATATTAATGTGGCATTTGCTTTCGGCATGGGCAAGCTCCTAAATTCTAGGTGAGAGGCAGATAAACTTAGAAGCTAGCTGACATTCTTAGTGGACTGCTTTGTGCTTTTCAAACCGGTCCCCATCCTGAGAGATGAGAGACCAGTGACATCAGATGAGTTTCAGGGTGGAGCTTGAGAGGAGGCTGAAAGGCGGCTGCTTCCTGCCACTCCCGCCCATGCGCACCCAGCCCCATCGGGAGAGCCGAGAGGGGGAGCGCCCCCTCTCCTTCATTTCAAGAACTGCGGTTAAGGAAGTCCTCGCAGAGAATAAACGGAAACCACCTCCCAAGACTTGGCAGGCTCCGTGCGGACGGGGGCCAGGTGTGCCCCACGGTCCTCTGTACAGATCACAGTGCTTGCGCCGCAGAGGAGCTCACAAGTCATTCGCTGAAAGACTTGCCCGGAGCTATGGCGTGTGAACCCCAGCTGGGCTTCAGTTTTTATCCACATTTTAATTCCATCACACGTTCAGGATCAAGCATCCTAGGGTAGAAAATTTAAGAAAACTTTTTAGTCGTTTTGCTTTTCTTTCCCCCCACTTTATCCATTTTTAACTTTTGGGTGGAAGGTGTAGAAGATGTTTTCTTCTTTGTATGAATGAAGCCTTCTGTGATGTCTTTTATTTTAGCGGGAATAATATTAACGAAAAAAAAAATGATGTTCCAGATCTGAGGAATAATTTAATGAACATAAAGACATAACAGGTTTCGTCAGCGTGTCTGAAGACAGTATAATCAGATTCGCTTACTGTGGCTACTAGCTTGATAGACTAATAAAAGTGATGCTCGTGCCTCAGTACAGTTAGCATTTATTAAACATGTGATAAACACGAAAACAGTACAGTAAAAGCTTAGTGACTGAGAAGGCTTGGCAGATGAGGGATTCAAGAGAACAATGTTGTGTGCATAATTGAGGAATAATATCCATAAGCATCCAAAAAATGTTTAAGTCTTAGCTGTTTTGGAGAAAATATTCTGAAATGTAATGTATGTCTTTACCATGTCTTCTTTAATTTGTTTTTATTTCTTAAAGGTTTTTGTTTTTTTTTTTTTTAATTTATTTAAGCAATCTCTACATGCAGTGTGGGGCTTGGACTCACGACCCCAAGGTCAAGAGTCACACACTCTTCCAACTGAGCCAGCCAGTTGGAAGCCAGCCTACCGTGTCTTCTTTAATAAGCTATACTGGATACAACTATTTTATTTATGACTTTATTCAGTGGGCAGATATTTACCAAAGCACCTACTATATGAGTGCAGCAGGTTTGGGGAATAGAGTCATAAATAAGGTGGACACATAGTCCCCGCCCTTAGGGAATTATGGACTCATGAGGAAGAAGACAGTGGACTAATAATGCCGAGATGCTAAGTGCCAGAAAGGAAAAGCAAATATGCTAGGAGAAAATAGAAAAAGTCCTAACTTCAGTGCGGTGGCACGTTTGGGGGGGTGGGGGGGTGAGGGCGGTATCTCTAAGCAAGCAGTAGGGGCACGTGGGCCTGGTCGGTACCGAGGTTGGTGGAGGGGGTAGAGGACAAACGCCATCCGAAAAATGTAGACAAAGGCTCTGACACAGGAAGAGGCGTGGTGCAATCGAAAAATGTTTCATAAGACACTGTAAAATTGAAATAATATAAACAAGCATAAGCCAGAGAAGAACAGTACAGTGTCGTCCAGCTCCCCGACCCTCTCCATCAGACCTCTCTCCGTGTCCGAATCCCGTATCAGCATAGAGATAGACAATGTTATGTACATGGTGTCACCAAGTCCCAGGACATTGTCACGGGAGACTAATTTATGTGTTTGTATCTTGCAGAATTTATTGTTCACTGACGAAAACGACAATTTGGAAATTAAAGTAATCGATTTTGGGTTTGCGCGCTTAAAGCCGCCTGATAACCAGCCTCTCAAGACACCCTGCTTCACCCTGCACTATGCCGCCCCGGAGCTCTTGAACCATAATGGCTACGACGAGTCCTGTGACCTCTGGAGCCTGGGCGTCATTTTGGTGAGTTCATTTCATTAGAGCCGTTAAACCTAGTCAGTTCCTGGATGGCCTCTTACCTATCTCTTCCTACTGTTTTTCTTAAAGTTGCCGGGGATATTGACAAATTGGTTTCTTTTCGGCACAACCAAGTAAAGGTCTGACCAAAGGCTATTTCCCTTTTTTAAAATTTACATCGGAGACAATGTAGGAATTTTTATTTTGGTTTATTTTGAAATATTTAAGGTATTGCGTTTTATATGCATAAGAATTTATATAGTATTTTTTTTAAAGACGCAATAGTATATTCTCAAAAGATGCATATCAGATATAATATGAAAATAACAAAGTGATTTATTAATAGAAAAACGTTAAAAAATATATTCCCCATGGGGGAGGGGAAGGAAAAAAAAAAAAGAGGTTAGAGTGGGAGAGAGCCAAAGCATAAGAGACTCTTAAAAACTGAGAATAAACTGAGGGTTGATGGGGGGTGGGAGGGAGGGGAAGGTGGGTGATGGGTATTGAGGAGGGCACCTTTTGGGATGAGCACTGGGTGTTGTATGGAAACCAATTTGACAATAAATTTCATATATCGAAAAAAAATAAAAATAAAAAAAATAAAAAAACTTAAAAAAAAATAAAAAATAAATGAAATAAGTAAAAAATAAAAAATATGTTCCGTGAGGGGGCACCCGGATGGCTCATTTGGTTAAGCATCCTAGTTTCGGCTCAGGTCATGATCTCATGGTTTGTGAGTTTGAGCCCCATATCTGGCTCTGCCCTGGTGGCACAGAGCCTGCTTAGGGTTCTCTCTCTCCCTCTCTGCCCTTCCCCTACTCTCTCACATGCACACCTGCATGCCCCCTCTCTCAAAATAAATAGATAAATACATATATACATATATATATGTATATGTGTATATATACACACACACACATACATACATATATATAAGCTTATATATATATATATATACATACACATATACACACATATATATATATTCTGAGATTTTCAGACTAAAAATGTAATGAAAGACAGTGATTTAGGGTAAGTTAACAAATTAATGGATAAAGCGGGAAATATTTATGGTTAACTTATAGTAATCGTGGTAAACATGCTTTTCACAAAATGACCTGGGCTGCTGTGATCAGAAACAGAACATTAAGCTAGAAAAATAATCTTGGCATGTTTCTTCTCAAAATAGCTTTACTTTTTCTGCATGTAACTTGTAATGCATAATCTTAGGGAGAAATTTTCGGACAATACAGAAAGAGTAGAGGAACGAGCAGACTCACTCATGACATTGTGTGGAGGTGATGTGCGTGAGCTCCCCCTCTTCTAGCCCACTGCCTGCCGCCACCATATTCCGTGTGCTTTCTGGCTTTCTGCTTCTTTGTTTTGCTTCTTTGTTTACGTGTACAGCTGTTTGGGTTTTTTAGCAAATGAGCTTATATTATACGTGTAGTTTGAGCCTCCAAACTTCATTTAACTTTTTCTTTATAATGAGCAGTTAGCATTTTCCAGTTTTTCACTACTTACAAACTACACAAATGACTATTTTTTAATAGATGTGGCTGCATTTGTCTCATTTCCCTGGAATAAACTCCTACGAGAAGGGCACGCACATCTTTATTTTGACATCTATGCCTCAAATTCCTTCTAGAAGGTTTACCAGATCATGTTCCATCAACTGTATGTGAATACATCGGATACTATCAATTTCAATCTGAAATTATTTTCTACTGTTGTAATTTGCATACATTTCTTTGATGAATATTCAGTTTTGAGCATCTTTTCATGTATTTGGACACTTGTATTTTCTTTTTTATGAATTGCTGTTTATGAGCTTTGCCCATTTTAAAGCTCTGTGAAGGACTTTAATCCTTTGTCTGCCATTGATAGTGGAGATGTTTTTATTCTGATTTTGTCATTTGAAAACTTTGTTTATAGTATCATGGGATTTTCACTTCTGTTTCAGGGTTTAAATGGAGAATTTTTTTATTTCTCTGTAGTAAGACATCAGTCTTTTCCTTTATGACGTGTTTTTAAAAAATTTTTTTAATGTTTATTTATTTTTGAGAGAGACAGAGACAGAGCATGAGCAGGGGAGGGGCAGGGAGAGAGGGAGACACAGAATCTGAAGCAGGCTCCAGGCTCTGACCTGTCAGCACAGAGCCCAATGCTGGGCTTGAACTCACAGACCTCAAGATCATGACCTGGCCCGAAGTAGGACGCTTAACTGACTGAGCCACCCAGGCCCCCCTGTGACATGTGGTTTTGATGTCAGATTGTCACACACCCCTACCCCAACCCAAGATTATAAAAATATTCTCCCAAATTTCCCTCCAGAATTATATTTTATTTTTATACTTAAATCTGCACTCCATCTGGGATTTATTTTGGTGTCGATTCTCCCACAGTGGCTAACCAGTTGTCCCTGCAGGATGGTTCCTCTTTTATTTTTAAGCTTTATATGGTTTTTATTTCAGCAATTTTAACTCATCATTTATAATTTTCAAATGAAAATATTTATGAATAAGGTTTTTTCAATAAAATTAAACAACGAACTGCTATAGATTTGAGAGTTTTGTTTAAGGGCTTAAACTGATTACATTTTCATTAACATTCTCCGAAAAAATTAGTCTAAATAAAGGGGAGCTTTCCAATTTTAGTAATAATATAAAAGTACCCCTTGTGAAAGAGCCTTTACTTTAAATACAGGTCAGTTTTAATCATCATGCTTTTTAAAGTTTTACAAAAAAGGCTTAGAGATGTGGACAAGTGTTTTAGAGCTTCCGAATGCCACATCCATGGAAATAGCTGTGTGTCACAGCACGGATGGAAGCCATGCTTCTCTCTAGATCTACTTGTCAAGTTTCTAAGACAAGCAAGGGGCAAAGAACAGCTTACATGATGCCACAGGAGTACAGTCACAATATCCAAACTATGGGCCGTTCTACAGGACAAACAACCCAGTTTCTCCCAGAAAAAAGAAAAGAGCCTGAGACCCTACAGATTAAAAGACACTTAGGAAACAATATTTACACTTACTTCAATTCTGATTCAAGCAAATTCTAATTTTAATGCTATTTATTAGGTTCAAACTCTAAGTCATCCAGATATAATTATTATAGATACATATGACTTATATAACACAGATGGAGAAATTTGGATATTGATTGGGTACTGAATGATATAAAGGAATTACTGCTAATTTTTTTTAGATGTGATAATGGTGTTGTTGTGGTTTTTAAAAGATCTTTGCCGTTTAGAGATACACAATGAAATACGTATGCAGAATGTTAGTATACACCTTAAACTGTGAAAAAAAAAACACAAAAAACCCAGAGTGCTTTGTGAACTTTTCTACATGAATAAATGCATATCTTCAGAGGATCTAGATACAAAGCCTCAGTTATTCCATCACAAGCACAAAGTTTATTTGGAGTCTCCTGATTTGCCTTAGAAATCTGTGGCCCTTGGGGTGCCTGGCTGGCTCAGTCAGAAGAGCATGTGACTCTTAATCTCGGGGTTGTGGGTTTGAGCCCCACTGGGTGTAGAGATTACTTAAAGATAACATCTTTAAAAAAATAACAAAATAAAATCTTAAAAAAAAAGAAAGGAAATCTATGGCCTTTTTGTATGTTATATCTAATAAACATGAATGTAGCTATTATAGTTTGAAAATAATTTATATTACCCCCATTGAGTAAAACAAATACTCCAGGCAGCTGCATCATGTAGTATCATATGGCATGATTACAACCCCCGTCTACCTCATAGATATGCAATCCCTGTCAGAAACCTACAGGACTTTGGGATGCCTGGGTGGCTCTGTCAGTTAAGCATCTGACATCGACTCAGGTCATGATCTCGTGGTTTGTGGGCTCGAGCCCCACGTCGGGCTCTGTGCTGACAGCTCAGAGCCTGGAGCCTGGATTCTGTGTCTCCCTCTCTCTCTGCCCCTCCCCTGCTCTCACACACACACACACACACACACACACACACACACACAATCTCTCTCTCTCAAAAATAAATATTAAAAAAATTTTTTAAACAAACATACGGGACTTTAATTAAAATAGAGCTTACACGGTGTCTTAGCTTGGTGCTGCCATAACAAAATACCACTGATTAGGTGGCTTAAGCAACAGAAATATATTTTCTCACAGACTGGATGCTGGGAATTCCAATACCAAGATGCCAGCAGTGCTGGTGGCTGGTGAGGATTTTGTCCTTGAGTCGTAAACAGCCACCTGCTCTCTGTATCCTCACATGGCCTCTCCTCAGTGTGTATGCTTAGAGAGAGAGCATGAGCAAGCTCTCTGGTGTTTCTTTTTATAAGGACACTAATCCTATTGGATCAGGACCCCGCCCATATGACCTCATTTAACTTTAATTACCTCCATAAAGGCCCTGTCTCTAAATACAGGCGCGTTGGGGGTTGGGTCTTCAACGTATTAATTCTGGAGGCAGACAAACATTCAGTCCATAACACACAGTATTTACATGGGCTAGGATCATATGCTACCCCACGGGTACATTTAACATACCTGTGGGGTGACAGCTAATTCCATTTAAAACATAATCCTCCACTCACAGAATCAGATATGGGGGATCCAGCACCAATGGATCAGCCAGTGGTTCAACACCATCCTCAGGGACAGAGCCCCAACCCCACGGGGTATTGTCCTGAGCAGCTGCCTTCACTGAGTTTTTCACGCTCTAGCAGGCCACCTATCGAGCAGTCTCAATTTCCTTTCTTCCTCCATAGAGGAGGGAAATCCTAGAGAACCCCTCCTCAATGAGGCCATTGGCTTGAACTGAGGAAGAAGTGCTGGTGCAACAGAGATAGGTGGCACGCACCTGTGAATGTAACTTGCTCATGCCTTCTGGACTTCCTAGGATTGATTCTAAGTGTGCTGTGTCCACAGTACATTGGATCGCTGCTCGGGCTTTGTGAATCAGTGCTGATCATAGTATAAGATGCACTGCTTTTGGTATCCCTTCTATAGGCATTCATAGTCTACTAGGAACCAGTAGCGTCCAGGAGATGCTTTTCAGAGAGTAGTTCTCTGCCATGGAAGGCATGACCCCACACAGAATCCTTCAGGTCTGCTCTACAACTCCTCTGTTGCAGTTGCCAGAGACTCCACACAGCATTCTTCCCTTTCGCAGATACCTCTAACACAATCGAGTCAACCAAATCCTATGGCCTAGGTAGCAGGACGGCTTGTGTTTCAGCTAGGACCTGCCGCAGAGCCCTCTTGCCTCTGGGCCCCACTTGGAACTGGTAGCCTTCCAGGTCACTTGATAAATGGATTGGAGCAGGATTCTCAAGTGCAATGTACGCTGTCGCCAAAATCCAAGGAAGCCCACTGAGTCCTGCACCTCTTTCTTAGTGGGACAAGGTACAGCAATTTATCTTTCAGGGGAAATGTCTCTATGCCCCTAACCATTGGAGCTCTAAAGTCTTTACCAATGTGATAGTCCCCTGAACGTTTATGGAGTTCATCTCCGTCCCTCTGACGTTTATGTGCTTATAAGGCATTTGGGATACCTGCTAGTTCCTGCTCACCAGGTCTCACTTAATGAAGACATCAGTATAGAGAGCCAGCATGGGATTCTTGAGAATGTCGAGATGATCAAGGTCCTAACAGACTATATTATAACAGAGCAGGAGAGGTCACACAGCTCTTGGGCAAGACAGTGAATGCTATCCTTGGTATGTGAAGACCTACTGCTTTGATCCTTCCTATTGACAGAGATCAAGAACGATCTGTTGACCAGATCAATAGGTGCTTGTCGATGCCAGCACCATATTGACTTGTACCGCATTCAGCATGGCAGCTGATCCCTGCAGTTCCTTTGGTGTGTACACTGTTCCCTGTTCTCAATTCTTCCCGCTCAGGAATGTAATTGTGTCTTCACTTCTGCTTTAGACTCTGCTCTCTGGGGAATCCATGCTGAAGTGTTGGAGCCTCCAGTGATCTAGAAAGCAGACCTTTAGGAAGGGGCTGTAAGGTCGCCTGACTCACTGTTCTGATTCCCCACCTTCCATTGAGAAAATGGGGTCCCTGCTGCCTTCCAGCCAGAGAAAGAGGAGGAAGAACGGAGTGAAGCCTGGTATATTAGTGAGCAGGCTCCCGCTGTTATCACGTGCAATGGGTTGTGTGATCCTGTTACATTTGTTGTGTAGATGAAGAAAAAGTCTAAGAGAGGTTAACTAACATACCCAAGCTAGTAAACTAAAAAGCTAGAAAACAGAAGCTAGTAAGCAAAAAAGCAGTTGTTGGAAACCAGGTCTGTCTGACGCTAAAGCTCATTTTCCCCTCCTACCGCCTATCTTCTCTCGGGAGTAACTATGACAGATGGCGGAGGCCCTCGTTACACACCCTGGAAAGTTACACCGAAGGGTGGGTGGGCCTCTGCCAGCTCAGAAAAGAAAATGGCCTTCTGAGGGGACCGAGTAGCTTGTGCGCAGTCCAGGAGGCCTAGGAACTATCGGTGCAGAATAGGGGGTGGGAATACAGCTACTGCAGAGGCTGAGCCCAGGAGGGAAGACGAGGCTGGAGCTTGAAAGGTGCCCGGTGAATGTCGGGAAGCCAGTGTAGGAGTCTGAAGAGGGAAACTTCGGGAAAAGATGTCGGCTGTGTGAATGTTGCCGGTGTGCAGGAAGGATGAAGGAAAGAAGATTTAGGGAGGTTTCTGGTTTTCTTAGATTGTTCTGGCATTGTTCTTCAGGTGTCCTAGCATTTCCCTCCTTAGAACAAGGATCTTCCGGGGCACCTGGGTGGCTCAGTAAGTTAAGCATCTGACTTTGGCTCAGGTCATGATCTCACAGTATGAGTTTGAGCCCCTCATTGAGTTCTGTGCTGACAGCTCAGAGCCTGGAGCCTGCTTCAGATTCTGTGTTTCCCCTCTGTCTCTGCCCCTCCCCCGTTGATTCTCTCTCTCTCTCTCTCTCTCTCTCTCTCTCTCTCTCTCTCAAAAATAAATAAAAACATTAAAATTGAAGAAAGAAAGAAAAGAAAGAAAGAAAGAAAGAAAGAAAGAAAGAAAGAAAGAAAGAAAGAAAGAAAGAAAGAAAAAAGAAAGAAAGAAAATGTCCTAGGGAAAAGATGTGTGGAATTGAATAGAAAAAAATAGCTATTGGGGTACCTGGGTGATTCAGTAGGTTAAGGGTCATGAAGTCATGATCTCACAGTCATGAGATCGAGCCCTGCTTTGGGCTCAGCACTGAGCATGGAGCCTGCTTGGGATCTCTCTCTGCCTCTCTTTCTGCCCTCCTCCACTTATTCTCTCTCTCTCTCTCTCTCTTTCTCTCAAAATAAATGCATAAACTAAAAACAATTGCATTAAAAAATAGCTGTTGAGGCATTCTGCTCCCTCTCAATTCTCTGTTAACACGAATACTATTTTTTCAGAAGCAGCCGGATTATCCTTGTTTTGTTTTTCTTGCTCTTTAAATCTTGGTATCATAATAAGCCGGCTCACTTTATTTACAAGGCTTTGAAATGTGTTTGTTGCTTCAGTGATAGAAATCTACATAATCTTCTAAATCCGGTAAGGCTAGTTATTGTATTTGGTAAACTATGCTGATGAAGTTAGTAGTGAGATTACTGGAGTGGCTTTGACAATGACTTTGGCAGACATTCTGTTCTGTTCCCTTTTTTTCTTGATAGTATACAATGTTGTCAGGGCAAGTCCCATTCCAATCTCACGACAAAAGTTTGACATGTACCAGTGCAGTGGAGATCATGAAGAAAATTAAAAAGGGAGACTTCTCCTTTGAAGGAGAAGCCTGGAAGAATGTATCCCAAGAAGCTAAAGATTTGATCCAAGGTAAGAATCTGATGCAATTTTACATTTTGTATGATGTGTAGTGGTTAAAGTGGAATCATACTCATTGTGCATATATTTATTTGTTAATTACTCATAGAGCTTACATGTGTTCTAAAAGGTTTCCAGGTTAGTCTACTGAACCTTTTTTTTTTTTAATTTTTTAAAATATTTATTTTTGAGAGAGAGACAGAGCGTGAGCCAGGGAGGGGCAGCGAAAGAGGGAGACACCAGAATCCGAAGCAGGTTCTGAGCTCCAGGTTCTGAGCTGTCACTACAGAGCCGGACTCAGGGCCAGAACTCACAAACCACAAGATCATGACCTGGGCAGAAGTCCACCACTTAACTGACTGAGCCAGCCAGGCGCCCCGGCCTTATTTTTTTTCTTATCAGAACTCTGTCCCTTAGTAGTCTTACCCACATGCACAGGGTCCACAGTGTCTCAATCTAACACCTCCAAAACGAACTGACACTATTTTACTATCCTTTCCCCCCAAATATGCCTCTTCCCATCCCCCTCTTGCACTGCCAAGCAGCCAAATTACCAAGACAGAAACCTGGACATCACCGTACGTCCCGCACCTTCCTTACCTTTCGCAGCCACTCAGTGCTGCAGGTTCAGTGTCTCTCCTCACCACCTCCTGCGGTTCACATGGCCGCCCTCGGGTCTTGCCATCCTTCCTCTCCTGAGATCCCACGCCATCCTTTCAGCCTGTCTCACTTCCTCTGACTTTACCTGTCCGTTATCGACCAGCAGAGCGACCTTCCTCGTATCCAGACGTGCTCATGCCTCTCTTCTGTTAAAAATCCTTCAGAGAGTCCCTGTTAGCTTCAGGTCAGACTCCTATATGGGAGCATTTGAGATTCAAAGTCCTTGGTGACCTGGCCCTGCCTGCCTATTCTTCCTGTTACCATTACTCTGCCTTTGAATTCTTCAAATGTGCCGGCCCTCAGATTCCTGTGTGACTTTACTCTGGTGCTTTGTAATTCCTGGGGCATCCCTCTTTGTTGAGCCCACCTGTACCCATTCCCCCAGGACTCATCTTCTGGAAGCCTTCCAGGGTGCTCCCACTCTCTGGTCAGAGCCCCTCCCTTGGGCGGCTAACACACTGTGCCTGGGGATTTTGCTATTGCGCTCGTCGCCTGATGCTGTCCTAGTTGGTTTTGTCTGTACATCAACTCAGAGCTCCTCTTTGTGTCTCCATCTCCATATCTCCCCTGCCTTACGGCACTTACTGACTTGTACAAGATGTTTGTACACAAGGGGCGCCTGGGCGGCTCAGCCAGTGAAGCGTCCGACTCTTGATTTGGGCTCAGGTCATGATCTCACAGTTCACGCCATGGAGCCCCACGTCAGGCTCTGAGCTGACAGTGCAGAACCTGCTTGGGATTCTCTCTCTTCCTCTCTTTTTGCCCCTCCCCCCTTCATGAGCGCACACGTGCACGCTCCCTCTCTCTCAAAATAAATAAATAAACATTAAAAAAAGAATTGCTTGTACACAAATGAAGTACATCTAAGTGCTCTTTGTTCCCTTGGAGCTTCCCATTCGCCAGTGGGCGTCTTTATGTTGGGTGCTAATTTTCTCCTGATCAAGAAGCCAGTTAGCCTACAGCAGACATAGGCTATTGTAGGCCTTATCATCAATTAGCACCCAGCATTTACTAGGAGATTTAAATGTATATGAAAATGTAATTACCTTAGTAGGAGTTTGAAGCCTTATAGAAACCATTGTGTCATGTGAACCTCATTGAGATTTATGTCTGAAGCAACAAATCATAAAATAAAAATATCTCAATTATTCCCATAGGACTTCTCACAGTCGATCCAAATAAAAGGCTTAAAATGTCAGGCTTGAGACACAATGAATGGCTTCAAGATGGCAGTCAGCTGTCCTCAAATCCTCTGATGACTCCAGACATTCTAGGATCTTCAGGGGCTGCTGTGCAAACCTGTGTGAAAGCCACCTTCCACGTAAGGCCCTGGGCTCTGCACACATAGGGCGGGTTTGAATCATGACCTCAGAGACACATGCTTAGTGGTACATTGAAAATAATGCGGTTGTTTTTTTTTAAGTTTAGGTATGTTCTTATAAATCCCTTCGTGATATAAACACATGGATTAACACAAAGTGTGTGGGGCATCAGAGTCACTGCTGACCCACAAGCACTCATATGACATTTAGAATGAGCTTGTGAGATGGGGCAGTCGTGTGACATTTGAGTAGTGCAAAGTTTTCGGGAGATCATGAAAACAATAGGCTTCATATTGGAATTTTTCTCTCTCAAATAAGCTGAATCATTTTCTTTGAAAGCCATAAATAAATATTAGGAGCGAAGGCACATGTGAAAGTCTGTTCACTTAACAACCATTGACACATCACATATCCTCGAGGCTGCGGGGGACGTGTTGTCAGAGTACACGCATTTGTACCAAGCAGCTGCTAATGCTTTAAGATAATCGCATAAGGAATAGGTGAGTTCCGGAGAAGTACAATTACCTCTGAAGGGACCATCTTGAGAGAGGAAAAAGGACAGTTTCTTCTTCAGCGGCAGACGTGGATCAAAAATTAACGAACGAGGATACCATTGAGGTGCGCAGGGAGTGACTGCGAAGGTTGTAGCAGATGGTCGCCCATCTTCCCGGTGGTATTTGAGGCAAAGTGATCAGTAGTAGCCCCAGTGACACCCAAGCTGGAGACCAAGAAAAGTAGGGACAGGCTGCTGGGAAGAGTAACCAGGCCGAGGCATGTGGCGCCGAGCCTTTCTGTGTAGATGAAGTGTCCAAGATCCACCCGGATTACCCCGACTTGGAAGTGGAGAGCAGGGGCCCGTAATGGATCAGGTCTGCTCTGTATTGGGGTTTTGTGGTCAGAATTTATTTTATTTTATTTTATTTTATTTTATTTTATTCTATTCTATTTTATTCTTATAAGTTTATTTATTTATCTATTTTGAGAAAGAGAGACAGACATGGGAGGGGGAGAGAGAGAGAGAGAGAATGAGAGAGAATCCCAAGCAGGCTCATCACTGTCAGTACAGAGCCCCATGCGGGGCTCGGACCCAACAACCATAAGATCATGACCTAAGCCGATGCTTAACCACCTGAGCCACCCAGGCGCCCCTGTGGTTGGATTTAAATCTCAGACGCAGGACCAGTAAAAGTAATGGGGGTTGGAGGGGGGGTGGTTAGTGTTTTTTACTGAGAGGTAGCGCTGACCTCGTCAAAAGATTGAGGAAGAATCAGGACTCCTGAGCAGCCTGGCTGGTTTGATTTACACGGAGCCCTGGGGACTCTTCCCCTGAGCTTGTGCGTCCTGCCAGGAGGTTGGCAAGTACCGGTTTTAAGGACTTTGTTCCCAAAACAACTTGGAGCCGTGGTTGCCAACCGAAAGTTGTCTTCTAGAAGTCAGACGTGCCGGAAAGCGTCAGCCCCTTTGCCTTCACAGAGGCTCCCTCTCTTTCTCCCCTAGGCCTTTAACAAATACAAGAGAGAGGGGTTTTGCCTGCAGAATGTCGATAAGGCCCCTCTGGCCAAGAGAAGGAAAATGAAGAAAACCAGCACCAGCACAGAGACGCGCAGCAGCTCGAGCGAAAGCTCCCACTCGTCCTCCTCCCAGTCCCACGGGAAGACCACCCCGACGAAGACACTGCAGCCCGGCCACCCCGCTGACGGCAGCAACCCGGACACCCTCTCCCACTTCTCGGACTGAGCGCGGGCGGGCGGAGGGCAGGACTGTCGCCGCCGACGACCCATCGCACCCGCGTGCCCTCAGCCTGTGCCTGAGGTGACGTCGTGCGCTTTTAAAAACGTGCCCCGTTGGTCTTCGCGGAACCTGCCTCTTAGGGAGTTGTTTTCAGGCAAACCCAACTGGTTGCCCGTGTCCAAAAAGCACTGCACGGAGAATGTTACTGTGAACAGAGCACACGTTTTACTGTTGAGTGACCTGGCGTGACGCCAACAGGACTGTTCCTGAAAGAGCAGGGGTGTCTGTAAACCTACTTAGGGGCGGGTCAGGTTCGAGCTGCTTACAAAACGAGTCTCGGGTGTTCCAGACGTCCGCCCGCAGGAGTCACACGTATGGTGATGATGATGCCTTTTGCTTTGCCTCGGGGACCGTGTGGCCTTTTAAGAGATGGGCCCCCGCGGAGCAGTGCAGAGATTGTGTAGTGAATTTGATGCGTGGCGTTCGCTCATTTCCTGAGAGAGGGTTTTAACTTATTGTCTTTGTTTTATGGTTGCCTACGATGGTAACCTGTTGTTATGAGTCCTTTTCTAAAAAGTAAAAGAAAAAAAAAAAAGATACAGGAACGTAAGGTCCCATACTCTGTATTGGGGACCCGTCTGACATGCATGCTAAGCTACGTACGGTTTTAATTTCGCACTGCTCTTTCCTGGCAGGTTGTTTTAATGGTTATTGCCGAATATTGAGGTACACGTCTCTGTTTTAGGTAATACTGCACTTTGTAAAAGACTATGGATAAAGCAAACTATTTTATAAAGTGCACCGTTTAAAGCACATGTGCTGCATTTTTGCCCGTTTTTCCATCATCCGCTTTAAATTTGTCCTCACGTCCCCCTTCTACCTTGTCTGTGACAAGCGGAATGGGCATAATCAGGATCCACTTAGGCACTGATGCGAAGAAAATCTAAAGGAAAATTCTATGAAACACTGTGCTTCACATCTGTGTACTGCGTTGTGCTGCAGCGAGGCATGCCCTCCCGGAGTCGGATATTATGTACATACTATTTTAGAATCATGACTCTGACTTGTCTTGAAATTTTTCTGTTAAATTTTAAATGCAGAGAGCATATTTTATAAACTTCCACAGAGCCCTTTTGTTGCTCCAAAGTTCTGAATTCCTACAGAAAGCAAGTACTATGTGATGGAGACCTTTCACCAAAAGATTGCTTCCTTTTCAAATACAATGAATTCATTCCCTATGCAAAAAGAAAAAAAAAAAGATAGGATTTGTACGTTGTATTTTCTTTTAAAGCCATCACAGGAAATGTCAGGACTGAGAAAAGTGATCTTGGCTGTGTTTACAAGAATCATGCTTAAAAAGATAATGCCCAACATGTTTATTTTATAATTTTTGTTAGTGATAATCTCTTGAGCATTGGTTTGGAATTTGGGCATGATATTTATTTATTCCTTTCTTGATAATAGCAGCATTAATTTCAAACAGTTACGAATACTAAAAATATTGCACTCTATGTAATAGTAGTATATTTATTACTAAAGCAATGTACATATTAATAGCACAGGCAAAAAATGGCAAATATTAAAATATTTTCAAAATACTGTATCACTCTGTTCACATTTTTGTCCGTGAAGGTTATTGGAAATGACTTTTTAGACTTTTTAGCGGCCCAAATGGCTATATAATTCTCAGGAGTCCATGAAACTTTTGTGCTCCTAGCTTTCAGTCATTCCTGGTAATGATGGGAAATCTTACATGAATTATTACCACCATATAGCTAATTCACAAAATGTGATTTCCTCAGGCACAGAATTATAATAACCAAGAAAATGTCCGTTTGTATCTATAGTTATGTTAAATAGATTTGGAAATGTCCAAGTTAGCTCTTCAGGTCATTTTTTTTTAACTGTGCATCCTAGTAGAAAATACTACTTGCAGAGTATAAACTAAACAGACTTTGTTGCTAATGGAAAACGATCCAGAAAAATGGTCAGTGTAATGATTGAAGATGCCATTGACTCCTGGATGTTGAAATTGAGGGGTTTCATTTTCGTTTATTTTCATTGCCTCTTCTTCAGAAGGACTTGACAGAAAATGAAATGGGTAAAAAGGCAGAGTAAGAAGAGGAAGGAAGGAGCACCTAATCCATCGCAATGAGGGTCTCTGAATAATCTAGAATGGGCTTTTGAAAAGACCTAAAAGCACTCGGGGTGGTGCCCCATGTCAAATACCTTCATCCCCACCCTACTTATGAATTCCAGAAAGACAGCCTCTGATGCTAAGTTTGCAGTGGTTACACTGCGTGCAAACCGTCACCGCCCAGTGACTTGTATTCTAAAATTCACAACACTTTCACTTAGTCACATCAGAAGTAAACTAAGAAATATTTTATATGAAAATACTTCATATGAACTCTTTCTTAGTATTAGGAGTAGAGTAGAAGTAGATCCAAAAAAGCCCCCAATATATAAATACATTAATTTCTCTTTATAATATTAATTTTGGAGATAAGGCAAAATCACCCCTTCCTTTTTCCCTTATTGATTTTATTGCATGTCGTTTTCATACCATCATAGACCCTGATTCAAATATTTTGTAACTGTATATGGCTAATGGAGACGCAAGAATAAGAAAAGGAAAGTAGTAGAGGAAATAAATTTTAAAAGACCCATTTCTTCTAACTGCTCTGCCAGATCCTGTGGCTGACTGAGTTAAATTAGCTATTTTGAAATTCATTAATTCTTCCAAACCTCTATAAAATAATAAGTCAATGAGCCACTGGAACAAAAAATCAAGCCTCCTGAGTTCATTTCAAACATGCTTGTTTGTGTTAGAGTTGCAGATTCATTTACCTGTGAAAAGCTGCTTTTTCATTTTTTTATATTGCTACTGATTTCTTAAAAAAACTGTGTAAAGGGCTACATTTAAAATGTAAGTTTGGGGCACCTGGATGGCTCAGCCAGTTAAGTGTCCCAACTTCGGCTCAGGTCATGATACCAGGTTTTATGGGTTCGAGCCCCACATAGGGCTCTGTGCTGACAGCTCAGAGCCTGGAGCCTGCTTCAGATTCTGTGTCTCCCTCTCTCTCTGACCCTCCCCCGTTCATGCTATGTCTCTCTCTGTCTCAAAAATAAATAAACGTTAAAAAAAAAAAAAGTTTTTTTTAAATAAAAAAAGACAAGGAAATGTAAGTTAAATATGAACCCAATGCTATAGCTTTGTTTTCCTGCTTGTAGGTAGATGGGGAAATCGTCATTTCTCTTGTTTCCTTTGTTTAAAATCCAGGAAGGTTGACGAACATGACATTCTTAACGACGGTTTTATTTTTGACTTTCTATGGGGCTGGTCACGCAAAATGTGCACTGTCGTGTTGAAATATATGTGACAATTATCCTCATGAAAGACCTTCTGGTTGTGTAGACCTTAGATCATTCATAACAGTTTATTTTAGGCGCTGTAGTGCTAGCCTATTTGCTGAAGTTATAAACACCGGTAAAAGGAGAGATTAAGTGTACAATAATTCTCATTCTCCTGATGAGTAAGAAGGGAAATACAGAGGGTGCCACATTACATGTAAAGGTAACGCTTTAGTACTGAAGTTTTGAAAAATATCCCTAAGAACTTTACCGCATGAATTTTTAAAAAGAAGAAGAGGAAGGCACATTCGAACATACTTAGAAAAATTTTTGAAAGACTGGCATTTTAACGGATAGCAGGTGTACTTCTGTCTCAAGGGGTATGTATGCATCCTTGGGTGTGGAATTGAAAACTTGCCGAAAATAAGCTACAGTAATCCACGTAATTATGTAAATTCTTCCACAGTCTTCATAAAGATAAGAATTCGTCTTCCTAGAAAGTAAGTGGGATATAAAAAGATGAGAAACATTGTTGTTCTTCTGTGTGAACGATTAAGGGGGACAGTGGTGTCACACAACTCAGACGAATGCCATTCCGCCCATCGCCATCTGTGGTGTCTTCACGGACTGCAGCGACTGTACTTTCTCTTGCTTTCCAAAGGTACGACCGCACATGTGAGCGTTTCCCTACACTGATACTTTACTCCCCCCTTCTTAACACACCCATGTGTTGACTAATGTTTATGGATTGTGATTAACATCAGAGAAATCCTTGACGGGGGCAGAGAAGGGAACATTTGGGGATGAAAGGGCTGTAGGAAAAGGGAAATACTGGCCCTGTGGGAAAATGAGCAGCTTTACATCTCGGAGGTACAAACAATTGCTATGAACATGGACAGAGGGTGACTTTACAAAAAGGCCATTTCAGTAGCCATGTGTATAAATCTCTTTTAATCATTGTATCTACTGGGTCGGTAGGTGAACTTATTGAGCATGTCTCTACAGGCTTTGTAAGATGGTTATTTTTTGCTAGGAGGCCCATGTGATTGCTTTCTCCTCTCCTTCCCTGTTCCCTCTCCAGCTGCTCCTACTGCTTTCTGCCATGGAGACCATTGACGTTCCGTGGCCAAAGAGACCAGTCCAAATGGAGCACTAAGGGTACATGTAGGTAGCGATCATATTCTTTAAAAATTTTAGGGGCACCTGGGTGATTCACTCGGTTAAGTGCCCGACTTTAGCTCAGGTCGTGATCTCCCAGTTCGTGAGTTCGAGCCCTGCCTTGGGCTCTGTGTTGACGACTCCAAGCCTGGAGCCTGGTCGGGATTCTGTGACTCCCTCTCTCTCTCTCTCTGTCTGCTCCTCCCCTGCTCACATTCTGTCTCTCTGTCTCTCAAAAATAAATAAACATTAATTTTTTTTTCTAATTTTAATGCAGTATAGCATATAAAGTGCACAGATCTTAAGTGGACAGCTCCGTGAACGTTAACTTATGTATGTACCCTCCTAACCATCACCTCAATCAAGACAAGGCTCCCACTCCATACTCAAACTTAACTACTGTTCCTCTGGCTTCGGTCTCCCATAGACTTGTTTGCCTGCCCTTGTGTCTGGTTGGGTCTGATGATGATCGTTATCTGCGAAATTCAACTACGTCGGTGCATGCAGCCATAACAATAGTGGCTCTTTTTCATTGCTGTGTATTATTCCATCAGATGAGTGTATCCCCATTTATTTATCCATTCTAATGTTGATAGACATTCGGGTTCATAATTTTTAGCTTTTCTGCCTAAAGCTGTCACGAACATTCCCGTGCGTAACTTGTGGTGGATATGTATATTCATTCCCTTGGGTTTATACATAAGGATGAAACTTACGGAATCATCGGATGGATGCATATTTAGCTTAAAGATGTTGCCAAATCGTTTGCAACAGCTGTCGCACCGGTCTACACTCCCACCAGCAGCGTGTCAGTGGCGAAGTTGTCTTTCCTCGTGGTTTCAGGCATTCTGGCAAGGGTGGATTCTGTTGTAGTTTTAATTTGCATTTTCCCTGAGAAGCAGTGACAAGTAGAGCACCCTTTTGTATCTTTATTAGCCATTTGGACATTCTCGCTTGTGGAGCACCTACTCAAGTCACTTAACAAGTTCCAGTTATTCGCTTGTCTGTCTTTTTCCTATTGGTTGGCAGGGGCTCTTTATATTTTATTGGTATGAAGTTTTTGTCTGATGCGTTGTTATAAATCTCTTCTCTTTGGTTTGCTTTTTCACTTTCCAATTGATGTCCTTTGATGACCAGAAAGTTCTAATTTTTGTGAAGTGCAGTATACCCGTTTTTTATGGTTAGTGATTTTTGTGTCCTGTTTCACAAATCTTTGCCCCAAGATTCTTATTCTTCTAAAAGCTTTATTTTATCATTCACATTAGATCTGTGATCCATCTAGCACTGGTATTTGTGCATGGTGTGAGATACTACAAAGTTTACTTATTCCATGAGTGTTCACTTGACCTAGTACAGGGTCTTGAAAATCTCAGTGCATTGCAGTTGTAATTTTTATAGTCTTCCCATCTGGTAATGTAAGATCTCTAACTTTGATATTCTTCCGGATAGTCTCGGCTATTTTTTTTTTTAATTTTTTTTCAACGTTTATTTATTTTTGGGACAGAGAGAGACAGAGCATGAACAGGGGAGGGGCAGAGAGAGAGGGAGACACAGAATCGGAAACAGGCTCCAGGCTCCGAGCCATCAGCCCAGAGCCCGACGCGGGGCTCGAACTCACGGACTGCGAGATGGTGACCTGGCTGAAGTCGGACGCTTAACCGACTGCACCACCCAGGCGCCCCAGTCTCGGCTATTTTTAACGCTTTGCATTTCCATATACATTTGTTTTTATTTTTTTTATGTTTATTTATTTTTGACAGAGAGAGAGAGAGAGACAGAGTATGAGCGGGGGAGGGGCAGAGAGAGAGAGAGGGAGACACAGAATCTGAAACAGGCTCCAGGCTCTGAGCCGTCAGCACAGAGCCTGATGCGGGGCTCGAACTCACAGACTGTGAGATCATGACCTGAGCTAAAGTCGGACGCTCAACTGACTGAGTCACCCAGGCACCCCTTCCATACACATTTTAGAAACAGGTTGTTGTTTTCCTTGGGGAGGTTACCTATTAGGGTTTAATTGGTATGGCATTAAGTTATAGAGATCAATTTCAGGAGAATTTATATTTTCTCAATTTTGAGTTTTGTAATCCATAG